TCTCTTGTTGACTTCGCTCTATCCACATCCGCTCTGCTTTATGGATGTGGTCCAATGTTAGTCCGTGCGCCTTTCCTCTCATGGCATCGACGAACTGTAATATCCGAGCGGTGGCCCTGACCAATCTCTCGTAAGAAGAGAACCTCTCGATGTCTGGCAGGTGTGGAGCGCTCCTGGTGTCGCTCTGGTGCGCCACGACTTCCTCCAGCTCGTCATCTTCATCCCCTGCCTTCTCTTCCCGTCGTCGAGGCCATCGATCTTCCTCTTCGTACAGGAATGGCGGTCCCGTAAACCATTTGTCGCTCTCTTCCTTGTACGTATAATTAATGCGCGTTGCCTGATCCGCGATGTTGTCTGTGGTCGGTATCCACCTCCATTGCTCGGGTGACGTCTTCTCCGATATCTCCCCTAATCTATGTGCTACGTATGGGGTGTAACGCGCCGTATCGTTTTGAATCCAATGGAGCGCCGTAGTGGAGTCTGTCCAATAAACTACCCTATCGGCTACCACTCTGTGCTCGCCTTGCACGAATTCCGCGAGTCGCGCGCCTATCAGATTCGCCTGCAATTCTAACCGTGGTATGCTTTGCGCCTTTATCGGGGCGACTTTCGCCTTGGCCGCCACTAATCGTACCTTAACCGTTCCGTCGCGGTATCGTAATCGCCAATACGCCGCGGATGCGTACGCACGTTCGCTTGCGTCGCTGAACACGTGGAGCTGACGCTCTACCACTCCCCCCGTAGGAGCATAGCACCTAGGCAGCCGCAGTCGTGATACTTCCTCGACGACTCGCAGCCACCTCTGGAATTCCTCAGCTGCCTCCGCGGGTAGTTCGTCGTCCCATCCGACCTTCTTCATCCGCCACAAGTCTTGCAGCAGGATCTTGGCGGTGATGGTGAGGTAGCTCAGCAGTCCAAGCGGGTCGAAGACCGACATGACTGCACTCAACGCCTCTCTCTTGGTCGGTGGCCTCTGCAGCGTCTTCACCTCGTTCGGTACCCGGTTCATGGATGTGTTAAACGTTAAGGCGTCTTCATTGGCCATCCATAATAGCCCTAGGGTTCTGCCTGGGCTGTCTTGTCTCAAGCCTACCTCCTTAGGCTTGCTCGCTAATAATTCCTCCGGCTTGTCCTCTAGTAGGGCTGCGTGGTTCGAATTCCAGCCCGCTAAGGTGAAGCCGGCCTGCTGGTGGACTTCCGTAACCTGCCTCGCAGTGTGTACCGCTTCCTCTACCGTAGCATAACTGTCTAGGTAGTCATCCATGTAGTGACTACGTACGATAGCGTTAAGTGCCAACGGATGTGTCTCAGCGTGTGCGCGCGCGTTATGATCCCTAACGCTATGTGCGAGAAACGGCGAGCTCCTCGCACCGAAAATCATTGAAGTCATAACGTATTCCCGCGGTGGGCTGGATCGCTCGTTACCTCGCCACAGAAATAATTGCGCGGGCTGGTCGCGACGGTCAATCTTAACGCGTAAAAACATTTCCCTAATGTCCGCTGACACGGCTATTTCGTTCTCCCTAAATCTGAACAGTATGCCCGGTAGGTTCCGTAACAAGTCGGGGCCGTCAAGCAAATAATCGTTCAAACATTTACCGGACGCACGCGCTGCCGCGTCGAAAACCACTCTCGTCTTCCCAGGCTTGTTCGGGTTTCGTACTGCGAAGTGGGGCAGGTACCAGCTCCTAGGGTCCTCTCTCTCTGTCCCCTCGGCTTCCCTTGCGTATCCCTTCGCCAGGAGGTTATCTATTTGTGCGGTATAGGCGTCTCGAAATTCCGGCGATTTGTCCATCTTCCTCTCGATCGTCCGCAGTCTTCTAGCAGCCATCTCGTAGCTAGGAGGCATCCGCACGTCGTCGTCCTTCCATGGCAGTCCCACCTGGTATTGATCGCCGACCTTCTTGACGGTGCGCTGGAATATCTCGACAGCGCGTTCCTCTTCCCGTCGCGGCCTATTCCTTAGCGAGATACCGATGGAATCGATCTCGTACTGCCGTTTGAGGAGTTCCGTTATCTCCTCGTCTTGACTCGCGAACGTTCGGATGTCCCTATCTATCCGTCCGCTACTGCTTACGACGTGTAACACGGTTTCACCGTCCTCCCTACACGTGAATCGCGGCACGGTTCCCTGTATCACCCATCCTAATAACGTACGTGCAGCTATAGGCTGCCTTCGACGCCCTATCCTCAAGTTACGGGTGATTATTAAATGCCAATTGTCGGCTCCTAATAATAATCTCGGTTTGGCGTCCTCATAGCAAACCGAGCTCGGTAGGTCGCGTAAATGCTTTAGACGTAAACACTCTTTATTCACCGACTGCGAACCTATCTGTAAATTCGTTACTGTACGCGCATTTATTCTATACATTTCGCTGCGCGATTTTCCACGTATGCCTATGTTAACTAGCCTGCTATCGGCCTCGCGTTGACTATTGCTTATTCCTCTAATATTCAGCGGCTTTATCGGTCCTTCCGCTCCTAACTCACGCGCTAAGTCGTCATCGATCAACGAAATAGTCGAACCTTCGTCGAGCAACGCATACGTGTCTATTTCCTTACCGTGTGGTCCACGTAACGTAATGGGACACACTTTCAACAATACGGATGCATTCCTACCGACGTTAGACGCGATGAGTACGGTCTCATCCGGTTTGGCCGATGTCTCAGGTGCGCGGGTCTTGCGGGTGTGAAGGAGGGCGTGGTGGGGGGCGTTGCAGCCGTCGATGCCGCATTTCTTTGCTTTACATTTAAACCGTCGGTGTTTACTATTTAAACATAGAAAACATACCCCGTCTTCTTTTACCCAATTCCACCGGTCGTCCACACCCATTTGCGCTAACTTTCTACACTTTGCGATCGCGTGTTCACCTCCGCAGCACATACAAGAGGCACTACCGGTGTCCTCCTGTGCGGTGAACGTTTTTACGTCGCGAGCCCTATTCTCTACGCGGCGTGTCACTATCCTCTTCGACGGCGGCGCCTCTCGTCTTACGGGCGATTCCTTAGTCGGCTCTACGGACGTATAGGCATGACTCAACGCACGATCAGCCTCTCTCATCATGAACCTGGACAGTGTAACGATGTCCGGCTCGTCTGCACTCCCGTAGTGCTCCGCATAATCACACCAACGCGACCGTAAGTGAGGGCTTAACTTACTCGTTACCTCCCTAGTAAGCATTGGATTTTGCAGATATCCCTTGCCGTCGACGTTTTGCAAAATGCACACGATATTTTGCAACTTTATTGCGAACGCATTTAGCTCCTGTGCAGTTTGACCCGGGCGTGGAAGGCGTTTCAATTCTTCTAACGCGCGATCGATAATTACTTCTGGGCGGCCGAAACACTGCTCTAATGTTCGCATAATATCTGCTGGATCCTTCGCGGTAAACAGCAGTGCCGATACTACTTCCCTAGCTTCACCGCGTAAGCAGTTTCTTAACCTTGCCATGTTTTCCGTATCTGTGAATCCATATAGACGCGTGGATTCTTTCATCGCGGCTTTGAACGCTAGCCATTCCGCGGCCGAACCGTTAAAAATAGGCAAGTCCTGCGTCTGCTTCGCGGCAGCGGGCCTAACTCTGACCATATTCTCCAGAGCTTCCGCTAGTCGCTCTATACCCCTATCCTTTCCTCGCGGAGTAAGCGACCTATCTCTATCCCTATCTCTCTCTAGCCTACGCTGTGGCGCTGGCGTCCTATGCGCACCTACATCCCTATGCGGCGACGGTGATCTACGATCCGCGTGGCGATGTGGCGATCTATGTGTAGGCGATAGAGTGCGGCGTTGGACGCGCGACGGCGACGTAACCCGTACACGACGATCCACCTGGTTCATTCCTGCGGCGACTCCATCTTCCCTTTGTACCGAATCTATGCGGCGCGGTTGAACGTTATTCGCTTCCGTCCTCCCCTGGGCATCTTCACTGTGGTCGTAACCGGTTACCCTGTTCGGTAGGGTCTGCTCTAACTCGATGCGGGGCGCGGGCTGAGAGGGGCGGGAAGGCGACTCCCCCCGCACAGTCTCTACGTTCTCTAACCACCTATCAACGCGTACCCTATTTTCAACTAACTCGTCTTCGTTGACACTTTCCCTATCTGTTTCTTCTTGCAGTTGCGCGACGTCCCTAGCGTACTTCTTCCTAATAAGATCTTCTTCCAACTGCAATTGCTTCCTCCTAATTGCAGCTAGTTCCTCCGCGGCGTTATATTCAATTTGCTTTAATTTAGCTATCGCACTAGCCGTCGACCGGGCTGAACGAACGGAGCGAACCGACGGGGCGCGGGGCGCGGGCCTATGTACGTCTGTTACAGGCGCGACGGTACGTACTATCGAACTAATCTCTGTAGACGGAAGATCTTCTATAATCGCGGCGAGTGTCTCTGTACGCGGCGCGGAAATGCTAACCTCTCCCAAACGATCGGTCGTCGACACGGACATAGCGGGGCGCGGCGGCGGGGCGCGGGCGCGGGCGTAGATGCGGGCGCGGGCGGGGCCTGGAGCGCGGGCGCGGCGGAGGGCGCTTGTGCCATCGCGAGATAATCGGACGGGGACGCGGGTGCTTCTTCGAATATGCGCATTCCTACCGGCGTGTCATCATCATTCCGTGTCTTCCTCATGGTCCCACGTTGCGACCTCCGGTCGTCTTCAAAAAGACGTACGTACAGTCTTTAAAAAGACACACGTATGGATGTCGTTCCCGCCACAAGGGCGTTACCAGATGGTCACAGTTTGGCACCGTTAGGGAGTGACCACTGGCCGCGTAAACGCGGTTAAGAAACAAGAAATTGTCTGGAAACAGACAATAGACGCGTATGACGTAGGCGTAACAAGAAACAGGGAAGAAATTAGTACCGACGATCTTCTCTCTTCGTCGACGAACTTCTTTCTTCCTTGAAGATCTTCTATAATAATCTTCTCTCTTCTGTAATTATGTTCCTTCTTCTATAACTGCCTTCTTTCTTGTTTCTTCTTACTTCTTTCTTCTTTCTTCCTTCTTCTGGCTGCTATCCGGCGACGATGGACCAAGATAAAGTGGATGGAGAGTAGTGGACTGTATTTGGTATTTTAACTGGCGGTGTGAGGTTAGCTATACTAGGGGACTGCTCGAAGAAAAGATGGTACTTTTAATTATACTATATTCACTATTTACAAAGGGTTCGGTACATTAACTAATCACTATACAAAAGGGAGGTCTTCAGTATGGAGTCTTCTGTCTTGATTCTTCCTTGCCGCTTCCGAGTGAATGCTTCTGAATGATCCGAAGGAACCCGAATGAACCCGAATGAACAACGACCGTCCGAGGCGCCCTTCTTATATTTCCGAGAAGAGCGCTTCATTTCGTCGGGTTGGCCGCCCGATGGCAATTTTCGCCGCACGCGCGCGGATTGGTTGCCCGATATCGCGTGATCAGCGCCGGCGTGCGGGGTGCGCGGGACGTAACGGGGAACGAAGGGGCGACGGGGCGGCGGGTCTCTCGCTGTCCGTAACAAAATGGGTGGCAGCCAAATCAAAATATTCATGTCCCAGTTGCTTAGTCTCTTTTAAATCGACCATTAACTACCTCTACCACCCATCTGCATAGTGTCACACACCTTGTCTTGTTCGTATTGATGGTCGATAACTGAGTCTCTCCTTGTTCTTAGGATTCATGTTTAAATGCTTTGAAGCCCAACCCCTCTAGCATTGGAATGGAATCACGAAAGCCTCGATACAAAATGAAAACATCATTGGGCTGAAAAAAAAGCCCTTAGACCCTCATTTTCATTTTGGAACAAAGTTTTCATGATGTCATAATCTGATTTGGTTGTTGGATAGGGCCCCAAAATATCAATAATGTAACCATCAGTGGCAACAATGAGAAAAGGTTTAACAAGGTTTCTATATTTGTGCAAGCTATAAGTTTGTTTTTGAAACAAGTAGTTGGATGATGTTTGAAGATATATAGGTACCATCACATATTATTATTGGTACTCTTGCCTCTCTGTTTCCAAACAAGCCCTCGGGTATTAATAAATTCCTACTAATTAAATCATTTATTGTGTGATTGATTATATATTATAAAAATAATAATAAAATATATATAATTTTTCTTAAGTATTCCGGCACTCTATTTCGTTCTACATTGTTACAAGCCGGCACAAAACAATGAGCACTTGTCTGCGTTGTGTGTGTAAAACCATCAAGTGTTATTGATGCACTTGGTGGCTGCATATCAATTTGTTGCACAACTTCTTGCTCTATTCCTATATTTTCCTGTGCATGTGTCCAACAGTTGGAACAAATAAGCACATATTCTGGTAACTGAAACAATACAAGAAACAATTTATTTATAGGGGCAACAGATAAGGTTACTTATAGTTGAATGTACAGTAACATTACTTGTGTATGGTGGTTTGGTAAATTAAAATAATCTAACCTGATTTGGGTAAATTCTTGCTGCAAGTTTATCTCTTACAGGACCACGAGCAATGTGTTTTAGCTTTCGGTGTAGAGACATTCTACACCATGCATACATTAGTCTTGGTGAAGGCTAGATGGGGTTGGAGTTTGCCGATTATCCTCAATCCTTATAGCATGCTCCACATTTTTACATGTTGCTACCCAACAAGCATAGAAAACCAGTCCTCCTGGTGGAATCTGAATAAAAGAAAAGAATACAATATGTATTGGCTATTCACACAATTATTTAATTCCAACACTAGGTAATTAAGTAAGTGTTAATGTTACCTCTCTTGGATATATTATTTCTGTTATTATGGTCCGTTCAGGTCCTTCATGTATGGAGTGGCTGTGTGTATGGGCAAGAGACCATCGGCACCATACACATACATTCATATTCATAACAACAGTAGAAGCTGCTATGATTCCTTGTTGTTGTATTGTACGCCAGGTATGTACCCAACAAGCAAAACATACGAGTATTAAAGCACCTTCAGGTATCTAAAACAAAAAATGTAGATAAAAAATGACTTTCAATAAGTATTAAGGTACGTTGGGGTAAGATCGGTGATGGGGCAAGACCGTAGGATTCAAATTCCCGGCGAATTATGCTATATTTTGAAAAGCTAACAATATGCTACACGACGCCATTTCATCCTGCCCCGACCCTCAGTTCGCGCCAGTCACTCCGGCAAGTGGGACCTGTGCTGCGTGGCATTTTATAAAACAATGTAATTTTTGTATTATTTTTGTCCATCCGATCTTTCCCTATAACTTTTATTTACGATTTTTAGCGAGAATATGGCTTCTTTTGTTATTATTTTGTGTGGATACTAATTTTTATGAAGTTATAGCTAAATAAAGCTGGTCCATGCAAGGGTAAGATCTCTGTAGGCCGAGATCCGATGTTTCCCCTCGTGAGTGAAGATCGGATGAATATTATCCGATCTTTGCCTGTTACAAATATGGCAGTGGTTGTTAAACTTTCATTGGTCGTGTATATTTTTTCGTTGATTACTCAAGTGACTATGGGACTCAGTCTCGTTAGCAAGTCTGTATATTTAAAAGTAATAAAACAATACGATGGTTTTATTACTTTTAAGTACACATTAAAATAATATTTTTTTTATAGGATAAGGGTGACAAAGGAGCACACAGTCCACCTGATGTTAAGTGATTGCTGCGGCCCATAGACATCTATATCTATCCTCTATTACAAATCAAAATGTAATTTATAATAATTATTTAAAAAATAATTTATAATAATAAATGCTGCTTTGTTAAACTATTTATATCTTCCTTAACTCCTGCATTATCCCAGGGCATTTCGCCAGTCCTTACTGTTATTTTTTTTCCCATATAAAATCAAATGCATCCGATCTTTCTCTTATATTGAGTAATTCCATCTTATGTCATAACAAAGTTTGAGAAACATAAAATTACAATTTCTTTATATCAGGGATAAGATCGGATGGCAAGAAACAAAAAAAGAGAAAATCGTTTGGAACATTTATGTTTCTAGTAATTTATAGATCATATTGAAATATGTTTTTTAGCGTTAAAGATAGGACAAATCTCTTTTATAAACTTTTTTCTCTAAGCAGTAGAAGTGGTTTTAAATTTAAGTCCGGTCTTACCCCTTAATGGCCAATTTTTCATTATGCATATAAAAAAGTATGTCTAGTTTTCGCACACCTTTAAAGCAGAAACCATTGAGTTTACACAAGCAAAAGATTCTCAGAGCTAAACTACGTTTAACGATTAACAGTTTGCTCCATGTTCCATAAATCTGACGTATACGAATGTCGAGAAATTAAAGTTTTTGGCAGACTCTTCCAACTATTCGAAAATCCGTCCGGTATTACCCCAACGTACCTTATGTAATAATCAATATTGAATAAAAAATCATTCTATTATATTCTATGAAATTAAGATTTATTTATTTATATCACAATATTTCTAAATAATTTAAATTAATCAAGATTATCACTTTTATAGACTCATCCGAGGTGATGTTATATATAAATCACATGTCTACACACATTTCCAAAAATTAAATTGTGACTGTTCTTTTTCTTCTTGAAATGAAGTCTTTGACTATAATTAAGAAACATCTACATTTGCATACCTTTGTATGAATAAAAAACAAAACAAAAGGGGTACTTACCTCTCTTGGAGTAATTGTTTCAGCAATATATTGCCTTTCGGCCAATAACAGAACATATATTATAACCCTAAAGAATAAAATAAAGAAAGACTCAAAGACGTCTAGTCACTTCTTACAACTGTCAAAGCAGTGTTGCCAACCCCTAGAAGTTCGAGTCGCTAGACTCAACATCAAAAGTCGCTAGAAAGTCGCTAAAACTAATTCCACCAGAAGCGAACGCAGGATTTTGTATGAGAGAGGCAGAAGAGGCCACCGGCATGCAGTGTGAAAGGTTGGGATAGGAGTGTGAAAAAAATTAAAAGTAGGTACATAAGTAATTAGATTATAATTCAAATACCTACATATAAAAAAAAATACTTTTAATTAAATTATACGAGCATAATCATTGTAACAATCACATAAATTAAAAATACTTGGAAACGTGCATTTGCATTTGTAATAAACAAATAAAAATAATCAAAATTACAATAAAAATATTAAATCAGTTATATTCATCATCGTCACTTAATAAGTCAAATAATTCTTCAGTCTCATGCTCATCTAATACAGCCGCAGCAGAAGTAGAGGGTTGAACGTCGCTCAAAAGCGGATGTTGCAGTTCAACGTTTTTTGTTGTTGCAAAGGAATAGCTTTTGTTCATTCCAATAAGCTGCAGCACTTCCGACGGTATTTCAAAAGATGCACAATTTTTATTTTGTTTTTTTAACTGATCTCTCAACAGGATCAACGCATTAATAGTTTTTAACGACAATCTATTGCGTTGTTTTGTTTTTATTATATTCATAGAACTGAAGACTCTCTCGACTTCAGCGTTTGAGTGTGGTAGTATTAAAATAGTGATTGCCAATTGTGAAATCAAAGAAAAAGGATTTTCTCCTACGGCATTTTTATACTGCAAAACCTCAATCCAAAATCGAACAGTGTTAGTAGTGTTGTTCCACTTTATAAAGTTAATATTATGCCATTCTTGCAGCATACCGTCTATAAACTCGTTACTAAAACCTAATTCTTTGGCTACATCGGCTAATGCATTAGTTTTATTCACTTTTAATGTTTCTTCAACATTTAACATTGACATTTTTTTCAGGATAGTGACATTGCTTGGTAGTCTTTGCTGAATCTGCTTTATGAGTTTCAGACTAAAATCGATGCATCTCTTTTTTAAATAAATTTTATTTTCTTGAGACAAACTTGACTCCAACATTTTCTGTTCAAACGTATAGCCAAGGTGCGGATTCGCGTACATACATTCGTTTGGAACTGGTGTTGTCAACAAATCAAATGTAGGAAAAACTATGTTTTTTCCAAGTGACTGCATGAGAAAGACGAGAGTATCTAATAGTTTTGTGGGATCATTGTCTTCCCCTTCAAATGCTTTTAGTGCTATTTGTACGTCTTTTAAAGTTTGTTTAAGATAAAGCATGTAAAGTTGATTTGAGTCATCACAATACATTCTGTACAAAAGATCAGCTGTGTAGCAATTATCATTACCCATTGCAAATGAAAAATGTAGCTTTAGTTCTTCCCACTGCTCCAGAATCCTACAAACAGCTGGTTCAATTGAGAGCCAACGGGTTGCACAGACTTTCAAAATTTTTAGCGGCTGCTTACCATAATTTATAGTCTCATAAACCTTTTTATATTCTTCTTGTCTTTTAGGCGAAATAGAGAACCAATTGTAGGTTTCCCGTACAAGAAACTCTATGTTTCTAGGTAAAGTATTTACGGAGGCGTGTGAAACCGCAAGCTGTAGAGAATGACAAACGCAGCGAATGAATATCAAATGTTTTAAGCCATGTTCTTTCTTGAGTATTTCGACGAGACCATTATTTACTCCCACCATCACAGAAGCATTATCTGTACCAATTCCTATCATATTCGCTATTGGGATTTTAAGATTTCAAGGAATTCACAAGAACAGCAGTCAGATTTTTCGCATCAGCAGATTCTACTAAAGCGAGCTTTAGAAATGCTGATATAATGGCTTGGTTTTTTACACTATAATACCGTATAACGATTCCCAGTGTTTTTGAAACTGAAACATCTGTGGATTCATCAATAAGTACACTATATTTTCGGTCACCTATATCTTCAACCAATGATTGTGTAAAATATGGAGCCAATACCTCAGTTATTATGTTAGTACACTTTGTACGATGTAATTGCATATTTTGCGCGCCCTAATCACTGGCAAACACCTTTTTACACAGTTCGCCTAAATGATCAACAGCTAAAATTGAACAATGTTCTGCAATAAATAAAGAAAGGACACCTTCCGCTTTGCTTGATATTCTAACTAAAGTTTTCGGGGCAATTTTAAAGGGTAAGGTGGCCTGTGTTTTTTTAAAATCCAATTTTTGTTTATGCTTATTAGTTTTCGCATGTTTTCTAATATCGCTCAATTTAGCATAAAACTCTGTGACACATATTTGACATCTTGCTTTAGATGAGTCTCCTAAAACTGGTTTCAGCCATCCCTTAAATTCAGATTCTGCTTCCCACGTATCTCGATATTTTTGAACGTATTGCTTTTTTTTATTAGGTAAATCCATGATTTAAGCTATCACAAGTATCACAACACAAGTTTAAGCACTTTATAATTACTTAAAGTTAATTCAAAAGAGAGCGAGCCGGATGTTATGGAACAATCAACTGAGTCGATCGATGTAAAATGTCAAACCGATTTTGCAGTATACAAAACATAATGTCCGGGGATTCCCCCGTGTGCCCGTGACCGACCGCCAACCAATGAAAGAATCGAGCTATTGAGCAGTGTTGCCAACTCGGCTACATGCGATATTAAATAGTATTTATGAATTAAAATCTGATATAGGTACTAATAGGTTAATGTAAAACTTAGATTTGAAAGAAAATTTAAATGTTTTGATTTGAATATGTTTTTTAAAGAGACTTTAATTTAATAAAGTTTGGTGCGTTTGTTTTCCTTATTGTATCTCTTGGCACTGTATCGAGTTGACTAAAAATTTATCCAATAATGACTCTAGAACTGATTTAATTTATACCTACTACAAAAGTCGCTAGATAAGTCGCTAAACTATTTTTGTCGTCAAAACTTTTTTTTAGTCGCTAAGACTTAAGCAAAAGTCGTCATTTCTAGGGACAAAGTCGCTAAATTGGTAACACTATGTCAAAGTCGTCAAACGTCATATCTATTATCTTACACAACTGTCATGGCTGCCTTTAAAATAGGGTTATCATAACAAAAATATTTTTAAATGATCATTTTTGTACGACTATACCCTTTTTCAAATTAATTTGTTAGTATTTTTATGAAATTCCTCAATTTTTTTCCTATTTATCTATGTAGTGTACATAGTGGTAGCCCAAAATCGAACATCTCCTTTCGCGACTAATTAATCAGTCGAACCGCTGGCCACTCCCTTGCTATTTGAATTTATAAATCGTGCATTTTAATTTTGAACCTCAGTCCACAGTTTTCCAGAAGCACACACAAAGACGGCAGTGAAAGTATCCTCCGGAACCTATAGGTGTAGGACGTGAGTGACTCGCGGAGTATCTTCGACAACATTTACTCCGGAGAATTACGCCCGTCCGGCACACATTTATTAAGCCAATATTTACGTAAGTTAGTATTGTTGTTTCTTTTGCTTAAAGGCGCCCTGAAATAAACATATTTAACACAACCATTAAACATAAGTAATTATATGTATTTAGTTTTATACAGTATATAAATTTTACGCACTATTAAGTGATTGTTCAATACACTACATATTATATGGCTTTGGAGTCAAAAATAAAATCACAAAGAAGCCTTGTCATGAAGCAAATACAAAGAGGTGTTGTAATTACATTTCACTATGTAATAACGCGTGACAATTTGCGGGGTGAGGGGATGTTAATCCCCTCCCACTTTACACTATCTATATCTACCGATAAAAAGTAAAACTACTGGAATCGTTCCATATCGATGTTGCAATGCAGTTTAGCTACCTTGACGATAGATGGCGGCCTGTACACAAAAAATTCGAGTAACTCTTTCGATTTGCCGTCACGAGGACCTCAAATGAAGCACCTCATGAGTGAGGGACACATCACTATATGTAAGAGTGTACATCTCGCTGGACACACGCGTTGAGAATGGCGGTAGTTTTATAAAAATATAAATGAATCGGTAAATATAGCCTTGGCTCTTTTTTATATAGAAAGAGTGACAAATGAGCACAGTCTACCTGATGTTAAGTGGATACTGTGGTACATAGACACCCATATTTATTGATAAAATCACTAATTAATTAATAATTACACCCATAACACAGTCCTTAAAGCTGCAGTATGACTCTACCACGTTTAAAAACGTTACGACGTTCAAATAACGTTCTTTCTACGGAGCTACCGCAAAAAAAGACGAAAAGGAGATACTGGGTGAAGAAGCCGCTCTTTATACACTTCTATCACCAGTGTCCAAATTTCATATTTATTATTGGTATCCATTATGACGTGTGCTGCGCGTGAAATTCGCTAATGAACTGATGGAAATTGCTCCAATTGCGCTACACACGTGGCAGCGGTAGCTATGATCTAGGGAGCAAGAAAGGTCTTGCGCCCATGTCGCCCTGCCGCAGGGCCGACTTAGAAAATTGCCCCTGCTTTCATACATACATCAGAATTAAGGACGCAATTAAGGGTCATCCCCACTCCTACACCCTAGATTGATTAAATTTACAAAAAGATGGAGTTATATTCCATATGTAAGTATTTTTAGTGTGACGCATGCTTTTTTGTATTAAAATCATCTATACAAATAAATAAAATTGAAGTATCTGTTTGTAATAACAAAATAATAGCTTTTTACTAAAAACATATAAAAGTATATGCGGTACTTATAACAAAAGCACAATTTTAAAAAATTTTGTCTGTGTCGGTCTGTCTGTCTGTCTGTCTATTCCGGCTAATTTCCGAAACGGCTGGACCGATTTCGACGCGACTTTCACTGGCAGATAGCTGATGTTATAAGGAGTAACTTAGGCTACTTATATTTTAGAAAAAGAATTAGGGTTCCGCGCAACATAATTAAAACCCTAAATTACACGCGGGCGAAGTCACGCTACTTTAAAATAATATCATAAACATCAGTGGCG